GCTAATAAAATAGAGGTTTAAGTTTGAATTATGAAAAGTATTTCAAAAACATATTGAAAAAATGATAATTTAGAAATGTGATACAAATTCAATTACACCCTAATTAAATCTAATCAAAACCTCAAATTTAAATACACTTTCTAAAACTCATGTTCTAAAAAAACCCTAAATAATCTCCGCATCATGCACTTGGGTTTTGTGACCTAATAACTATATGTTTTTTTCTAAGATATCCCTTTCAACTTTAAGGTTAAAATTCGAATCCCCCTCTCTACTAACCGTAATCCCATTCAAAAAAAAAAAAAAAAAAATCTCCACATCATATTTTTACACTTCAAATATTTGGACCCAAATGAGAAGTCAACAAGGAATAAGGAAAAAACCCCAAGATTTTAGTCAGATTTTGGCAATATTTTAAAGATTCAAATATCATAATGTAAGATTTATTAACAAGCATGTACAATATGCCTCTAATAATTTATATTTTATGAAATATTCTCTAGAAATTTAATATATAGTTACAAGAGATCAAAACATACATATGCTAGAGTTAGGCGATCGTTATGGTGCGCCAAATAAATGTTGAGGCCACACATAGATATTATAACTATGTTTGGTTTGTTTGATTTGTTAAAGTGTTTGAAAATATCAATCTAGATATCAATTATTTTACCTATTATCAACTACTAGTTAAAGCTATTAAATTGTTCTTAACAATTAAACCAAACACAATCATAATATTTTTGTGTGACATTAACACTTATTTGCATGGGTATAAGCATGCCTCAGTTAGAGGGTTAGAGTTATGTCAAAAGGCATAGTGACAAAGGGCACTGCAGGAACTTAAGGAGATCGTTGTCCCAAAAAATCATAAAAAAAACTATCGGTTTATCCAGCAGAAGATTAAGTTAATAGGCTTCTTTCGCTTCATACAAAATGCTCTTTGCTAGTTTTAGCTGTACAGCATGCTCAAGCTGAATATTTACTTCTCATAGATTCCTTTCATGAGGCTCAAGCCAAGGGAATCCCAGAAAATCAAACACCTCCTTTTCAGTGTAAAGTTTCAAACTTGTTATAGCTCTTGTACCCTGTAATGAAGGTCCACCGAACTTATGTTAATGATCCTTAAGAAGTTTTAGCCACAGGGAATATTTAGCAATACAAACTAATTACCCGTTTGCCGCCTGAACCATGAGTTGTTGGAAAGAGTCCTGTATCATCCAGTCGGTATCCTTTGGAGTCTGCAAGCAATCTCAACCTGCAATCAAATAGAGGCATACGATGTTAATGCCTTCATGTCAAACAAAAAAAAATCCTCCTTTCTTATTTCTATGATCATATGTAATATAACCGTGCAACATCGACACAATGAAT